ACAATCCAAGGTTGGGTGGGGCTTTTTTTTGTTGTTTTGGGGGGGTTTTTTTTAGTATATTTGCAAAGTTGTGCCACCATCAGTACTGTCTAATTCCAGAACATTTTCATCTCCCAAAAGGAGACCCTATAACTGTCACACTCACCATCTCCCACAAGCACTACAATCTATTTTCTGTCTTCAAGGATTTGCCTATTATGGACATTTCAGATCAATGGAATCACACAATACATGGCCTTTTGTGTCTGACTTCTTGCACTCAGCATGTTTTTAAGGTCCATCCATGTGGTAGTGTGGGTCAGTGCAGTGCTTCGTTCCTTTTTATGGCTGAATAATATTCTACTGTATGGAGGGACCACAGTTTGTTTATTCATTCATCCATTGATGGACATTTAAATTGTTCCCACCTTTTGGTTATTATGAATAATGTTGCTGTGAACATTCATGTACAGATTTTTGTATAGACATATGTTTTTAACTCTTTAGAATACATACTTAGGAATGGAAATTTGGAGTCATGTGATAACTCGATGTTTAACTTTTTGTGGAACTGCCAAACTATTTTCCAACAGTTTGGAAAGCCATTGCTACACCATTTTACAGTAATCCCTAGATTATTTAGGCTGAGCTGAGTTTTATATCTCTTTCAATACCAAGAGCTTTAACTAATATAGTGTCTCTTGCGGAAGCAAAACAACACATTATTTTTACCCACATTATGAAGAACACCTTTCTCCTCCTTCCTTTTCATCCTTAATACTCATCTTTCTCTTCCAAAACCTGGTCATTGCTATTATCTTCCAAACAGACACAACTCTCTTTAACTTCAATCCTGGGGCCAGTCCTTATGATAATAAACACTTTTCAAACCCCTTATTTTTCTTTCCACTTAGTAACACACTCGAATATTTTACAATTAAGATATGGCATTTTTGTTAGGATGCCAGCTCTGAGCAGCAGGACCCTGGTTCGGATCCCACATGGGGGCCAGTGACACTGCCCTCTACAGCTAAGATGGTGAACAACAGCTAGACCTGGAGCTGGGCTACCGTGAGTTGCCAGTGATGGCGTAGGCTGCAATGGAGCTGCAGTGGGCTGCCATAAGCTACTGTGTGTGGCTGACAGTCAGCGTGAGTGGCTGGCAGCCGGTGTGAGCTGTCAAGAGCCTCCGTGAGCGGCTGTCCAGAGGCCGGCAACCAATCTGCCTCACCTGGGAAGAGCACAATGATAACACCAACATGGGCCAGTGAAGCAATGTCCTCCGTAACTAGACTGAAGAACAAAAGGACAGCAACTTGTCTGTTCCCCTTCCCCTGATTCTCCAACGCTGTTCCCCTCCCCCAATTCCCCAATAAAATCTTAAAAAAAAAAAAAAAGGATATGGCATTTTTGTAATAAAAAAAATCACATTTTCTTGGTGAGAAAAAAAACCAAAAACCTTTTAGGAAGCATTTTTTTGTGTTTCCTGAACTGGCTGCCATGGAAAATTATCTTTACACTCTGAGGCCCTTGAATTCAGGGGCTGGAGTGGATCCATTCCTGTATTCCAGAAACTGTGCTGAGCTACAGAAGTCCCCAGGGATTGTCAACTTTCTTTTTTCCCATCAGAAAGAAGGGCTTTCTTGAAAGGGGATGTATGAAATACGGTAGTGACTGACTCAGCTTCCCCCCACGCTCCATTCTGAATTCCTAGAAATTTGTCTTTCCCTTCCTACGACAGTGGTGTGGATGGACGTAAGATAACGAGTCATCCGTGGAAGCCCAAATGTAAGCTACAGAGAGTATAGGTCAGCAGCATCTTTTTTCTCCCCCACCTTAGAACCTTTGCTGCTCATCCCCTATATCCCTCAAACATATCCCGTACCCCCATGGAGGCCCCTGAGCCATGGCTCTAGCCTCCTTCCTGTCCTTGCAGCCTCCAGGCTTCCCCCCTTAGTCCATCCTCCACAAGGGTCCTGAAGGATCTTCCTGAACGTGGAACTGACTCCATCCTTCCCCTGCTCAAAACTACACTGTGCCACGCAATGGACTATTACTCAGTTGTGAAAAAGAACTGATGCGTGCAACAACATAGATGAACCTTGAAAACATTATGCTGAGTAAAAGAAGCCAGACAATAAACAGTCACATATTATATGATTCCATTCATAGGAGATATCCAGAAGAGACACATTCATAGAGAAAGTAGATTGGTGGTTGCCAGGGGCTGGGGGAGGGGGAAATGGGAAGGTACTTGCTTCATGGGTATGGGGTTTCCTTTTGGGGTGGTGAGAAAGTTTTAGAAAGTTTTAGGATAGTGTTGATGGTTACACTCCACTGCCGATATAGTTAATGTCTCTGGATTGTACATTTTATTTTTTAAATTGTATCCTTTAAAATGAGAGAAGTTTATGCATTGTGTATTTTACCTCAATTTAAAAAAAGACACTCTATGGATCCCCATTGTCTTCGAGATAGAGTACAAGTTTCATGCAAGATGTTTCTGACATGTCCTCTGATTACCTCACCTACTCCATCTGTTCTCCCTCTACTCTCCAGACCCACCTGACTACTCAGCAATTCCCCACCTCCCTGCCACATCCAACCACTCCCTCCATCTGCAAAGGTGGTTTTCCCCTGTCTGTTGAAATACTCTCATCTCAGTTGGTTAAGAACGTGAGCTCTGAGCAATAGGGTCGCCAGTTCAATTCCCACATGGGCCAGTGAACTGCACCCAAGCTGAGCTGCCGCTGAGCTGCCGCTGAGCTGCCAACAGACGGCAGGATGGCTCAGCTGGTGAGAGCACATGCTCCTAACAACAAGGTTGCCGGCTCAACTCCCACATAGGATGGTGGGCTACACCCACCAGCAACTAAGATTGGACATGGCACCTTGAGCTGAGCAGCCGTTGGGCGACTGGATGGCAACTGGACTTGGATCTGAGCTAGCTGTACTCTCCACAACTAAGACTGAAGGACAACAACTTGACTGTTCCCCTTCCCCAATTCCCCAATAAAATCTTTAAAAAGGAAGAAAGAGAGAGAGAGAGAGAGAGAGAGAGAGAGAGAGAGAGAGAGAGAGAGAAAGAAAGAAACAAAGAAACAAAGAAAGAAAGAAAGAAATACTCTCACCCTTAAGACTCATTTCAGATACATCATGTGCTATGGAAGTCTTCCTCAATTCTCCACCCATATTTTTTTCCTTCATTGCGTTTTTGTTTTGTTTTTTTTATTTTTTATTTTCTTTCTTTCATAGCATTCTTTCTATCATCTTCATAGCATTTCTCATCATCTGAAATACTAATGCCCATTTTCGTTTATTTGTATTCTGTCTATCGTCTCTACGAGGTAGTAAATCCCATAGAGAATGTGTCCGTCTTTCATGGCTTGTTTCTGGCACCTCAAACATCAGCATGCAGTGGGTGCTTAATAAAGAACTGTTTAAATGAACGCCACTCAGATAGCAGCTGGAGCATCTTTGGCTTCTAAAACTCTCAACTCCGTGGTTTTGGAAAACCCAGTTATCCCATACTTTTTTTTTTCTTTTCCACTATATAAATGCCTTTTATGTCTCACTTCGCATTTGCTCTATACTAATACCTTCTGGAGAGAGTTTACAGAGGTTTGTTCTCTACAGAAACCTGGCTTCTTGCAAATGTGAACTTGGACAAGCAGCATCAGCACCAACTGGGAGCTTGTGTGAAATGCAGGCTCTTAGAAGCAATAAATCAGAATCTTTCTTTTTTAATTTTATTTTTTAAGGATTTTATTGGGGAACAGTGTGTTTTTCCAGGACACATCAGCTCCAAGTCAAATAGTTGTCTTCAATCTAGTTGTGGGGGGTGCAGCTCTGTGGCCCATGCGGGGGTCGAACCGGGAACCTTGGTGTTATGAGCACTGCACTCTAACCACTTGAGCTAACTGGCCACCCCTAGAATCTTTATTTTAATAAGATCCCCAGGTGAGTCACATGCACACTAGAGTCTGAGAAACCTTGGAGACATGATTTTGAGACCGTACCCAGAAACAGTCACTTCCTTTCTTGGCCAAGCCTTTGGGGGTTTAGAGAGAAGGTAAGGTGACTTTTCTAGGGCCACACTGCTGGTAAAGTGGCAAGGTGTGGGGTAGGGGTCAGAGGAGCGTGTAAAGCCTGGAGGGTCTCCATGATGCACCATTGTCCCTGGAAAGACAGCAGAAACTCACTCATCTCCCCAAAACACCTTCAAGTTGGTGCCACGCTCAAATACATTTATTGACTTCCTGCTTCCTATGCCCACTGCCCAGTTTTATGAATTCTGGTGGAATAACATATTCATGGCTCCCTCTGTCTCCTGCTTTGTGCCAACTATTTTATCCCTCTAATCAAACCAGACCAATAATAATAATAATAATAATAATAATAATAATAATTAGTAACCCTTCACAACTTTCCTCTTCAATATCTCCAGCACTGCATCCTCCTCCAGATCATGTCCCTTTAACTCATCAGAAAGCAGCACCATGGTCTGAAGGAGATCAGATGTCAATCTCTACTCTCTTTTAGCTGTGTGGTGTTGCAGAATCCATGTACCTCTCTGGGCTTCTGTCTCCTCATCTATAAGAGTAAATGCCTGGAAGAGAAATTTACTGACATTGGCCCACATTTCACAGTCACGTTGGCTCCAATTCCATCCTCCGATGAGAATTACCCGTCCAAGTCTGACACCAATGGGAGGAGGCAAAGTAATTGTTTTAATGATAATCTAATTGACTGGGGACACTAGCCAGGCAAGGAAAATAGCAGGTAGGACAAAGAAAAGAGAATACCTATTTGGTCAAGGGAGTCAGAGGAGGGAACAGAAGTGAAGGTCTTTCTCGCAGGTGAGTCATCAATAGAATGGCCCCAGCGATTTCCTAATCCCTCCCCACTTCCTCTTTTTCTAACTGAACACCCAGTTGATGAGAGGGGTAGGCCAGGCAGGAACTCAAGGGTGAGGAAGTGCTATTTCAACAGCAGGACTTTCCTGTCTTTCATTCCTACAGCCTCTGCCTGCACAGGATGAGATGGTGGGCATGTTAGAATTGCTCGCCCCGTGTGTAGAAACACCTCGTCTGTAGCTTCTCTCCTCCAGGATTCACAACGTCCCCATGCCCCGAACCACCGTCAGGGATGGCCCCTGTCTCCTGTCCGCCTACTTGGAAGAACTGGAGGCTATGGAGCTGAAGAAGTTCAAGTTATACCTGGGGACAGCGACAGAAATGGGGGAGGGCAGAATTCCCTGGGGGCGTATGGAGATGGCTGGTCCCCTGGAAATGGCCCAGCTGCTGGTGGCCCATTGTGGGAGAAGGGAGGCCTGGCTGCTGGCTCTAAGCATCTTTGATCGGATCAACAGGAAGGACCTGTGGGAGAGAGGACAGAGAGAGGACCTGGTGAGGGGTAAGGAGATGGTGATGGGACCATCATGGCTGCAAGCCACCAGTTCCATTCTCCTTTCTGATAATCACTGAGCTCACAAGACCTGGGTTCTAACTTATCCTTGGCCTTCATTCCTTCTGTGTTGTGCCTAGAACACCCTTCCTCTATCTTTTTTGCCTGGAAAATTCTTATCTATCCATCAGAACCTTGGAGGCACTACTTTCTCTGAGAATTCTTCACTCTTCTTCCCCCTCCTCTTGTACTTAATCCTCACCCTATCTGGCTTAGAGACCCCACTTTTGTGCTTCTTTAGCACTCAGATTTCTTTTATTATATCTTCTGTCCTAGAAAATAATCACAAGGGTACTAACACTTATTGGTTTCCTCTTGTAATAAAGCATCCATTGTACATAATAATGCATCAACACATTCAATGTTTAAAATGCTGTGTGATAGATTTTGTTATTATTATGCCTATTTTATAGGTGAGGCTCAGAAAAGAAATGATTTGCTTCCAGACAAAAGCTCATGAGATTGTACATGCCAAGTTCTTAACACAGTGCCCAGCAGATAGTAAGTGCTCAGCAAACACCAGCTTTTGATGGAAGGGGCAGAAATGGCATTTGAGCTCTGGTTTTTAATGTTATTTGTCACCCCTAATAGAACATGGGTCCCCAAGAGCCGGGGTACTTCTGACTCTTCTGTGTGGTTCCAGGGTCTGGCTATGGCCAGGACCAGAGTAAGTCTCGGCGAACGTTCAAGATGTGCCAATACCTGGCTATACACAGTCATTTCTGTGAGGCTCAGTGTCTCAATGTAAGTGTGATGACAGTGATGTGCCAGTAACATTGAACATCTCTGAAAAAACAAAGTCTTTAATAACACTGAAAACGCAAAGGCTGTGGTTTGTGGCATTTGCTAATTTCCATTGTGTAAGTACCCCCAGCGTGGCTGATTTTAAGTTACCAATGTGATGTGTCACCTGGCTTGTAATTCACAGAAATTTAACAACAGGCTCTCTTGAGCTGGAAATGTGCAATAGGGAGAGATAGACTCTTAAGGCCTTCTCAGATATTATCGCATGTGATTCCTTTTCTCCCAGTCCTCATTCTTGGATAATATTGAAGAGACATTGGACTTGGGGAATATGAGGTTGGGTCACATTTTTAGAGACATAGATGAAAAAGTGCTATCAGCAATAAAGTAAGAAAAAGGCATAAATGTATTCATATATGGTTCTGTAGAATTGTATTTACTTATAGAAGCTTTACATATTTATTAAGACATTCAAATAATAATAAGTATAAAGTGCCTTCCTTCATCCCATTTCACCTGGATCTCTCCCAGGCACTAACAGTTGGGATCTATTACGTGAGCATCCTCCTCCAGACTGTGTTCTTTTACTTCACCAGGAGGTGACCCCGTGGTCTGAAGACAATCAGATGTCTAGCTTTGCTCTATTCTAGCTGTGTGTTGCTGGGGAATCAGTGTACCTCTCTGGGCTTCTGTTTCTTCATCTAAGACACTAGACTAGCTCAGCGGTTCTCACTTGTTAAAATACATAAGAGTCACCTGGACACCTTGTTGTGAATGTGAAATCAAAGACTCCACTTGGGATTCTGATTCAGCAGGTCTGGGGCATCAGGAACCTGCATTTGGATGTGGGTGGAGCTCATAGCATGCATCAGGAAACACTAAGGTAGAACATCTTGGAGGTCTTTTACAGCTTTAATATTCAAGAATTATTTTTTTAATTTAATTTTATTTATTTATTTATTTATTTACGATTTTATTGGGGAGTTGGGGGAGGGAAACAGTGTTGGGGAATTGGGGAAGGGGAACAGCCAAGTTGTTGTCCTTCAGTCTTAGTTGTGGAGGGCACAGCTAGCTCAGCTCCCAAGTCCAGTTGCCATCCGGCGGCCCGTTGGCAGCTCAGGGCAGCTCAGCTCACGGTGCCATGTTCAATCTTAGTTGGGGGTGGACGTAGCCCAGCATCCCATGTGGGAGTCAAACTGGCAACCTTGTTGTTAGGAGCATGTGCTCTTACCAGCTGAGCCATCCTGCCACCTGTTGGCAGCTCGGCTCGGGCGCAGCTCACTGGCCTATATGAGAATCGAACCAGTGACCCTGTTGCTCAGAGCTCATGCTCTTAACCAACTAAGCTACTTGTTTCACCCCTAGAATTATTGGGTTGTTGGAAAAGTCATGACGTATTTTGTCTATGTTTTTCAAAAGTCATTTATTTACATAAAGAACAAAGATCAATCAATTATATATTGCCTGTTTTGTTCGATAACCTTTTGCCAGCTTTCAGTGAGCTTCATAATTCCTCGTTCATAAAAGAACCTGCCTTTATTTGCAAAAAACTGAACAAGGTGCTGATTTACAGCTTCATCTGAATTGAATGTTATACCATGCAGGGGGTTTTGAAGAAAGCAAAACAAGTGGAAGTCTGACAGCACATGGTCAGGCGAGTATGGTGGGTGTGACAACACATCCCATCCAAGCTCCAGTAATTTTTGACGGGTGATCAAACTTGTGTGTGGTCTCATGTTGTCACGATGGAACATAACTCCTTTACAATTAACAAGCTCTGGACGTTTCTGGATGATGGACTTATTCAAACTCTCCAATTACTGACAGTACACATTCAAATTGATTGCTTGGTTCCTTGGTGGGAGCTCAAAAAATACAACACCTTTAAAATCCCACCACACTGAGAGCATAACCTTTCTCTGATGAATGTCTGCTTATGATGTCGTTTGAGGCGAATCATCATGTCGGGACCAAGACCGTTTGCACACCACATTGTTGTAAACAATCCACTTCTCATCACAAGTTATCAGTCGCTTTAAAAAAGGATTGTTTTCCTCACGTTTAATGAGCATATTGCAGATGTTTATACATGCCATCAAATGAAGTTCTTTGAATTCATGCGGAACACAAATATTGAGCTTGCTTACCTATCTCAGCTTCTTCAGGTGGTTGTGAATGCTTGAATGATGGGTGTTCAATGTTTCTGCAATCTCTCGTGTCGTGTAACGTGGGTTTGATTAGATCAATGCCTTTATTTTGTCGTCATCAACCTCAGTGGGCCTCCCTGACCGAGGAGCGTCATTGAGATCCAAATCACCAGCACGGAATTGCGTGAACCATCATTGGCATTAACGTTCTCTTTTTTTTTTTTAGCTGAGCAATCCTGTCAGCTCAGCAGCAGCTCAGCTGGGGCCGGGACTCAAACTCCTGTTTCTCAGAGCTCGCACTGTTGAGTGAGCTCTTAACCAACTGAGCCACTCGGCCGGCCCTGGCACTGACATTCTTGTAGAGCATTGTCACTGTAAACTTTATGCAACTTTTCACAAGCTTGACGCGTGTTCTTCCCTTTATGGAAGTAAAACAGTAAAATATGACAAAAATGCACAGTTTGGTCTTCTATCTTCAACTTGTGAAATCTCCAAAACTCAACCAAATTGCTCAATTTTTTTTAGAATGAAGCTAGAACTGTCAGCTGTCAAATGACATAGTAATAACATAGACACGAATGACTCTAGTACTTCCAAAATGAACTACTGCCATCTGTCGCAATCATGCATCATGACTTTTCCGACAACCCAATACTTTTTTTAAATTGTGATAAAATTATCTGATGTTATATTGGTGTTTCTTTTCTACGCCCAGAACTCTCCTTGCCATTAGAATGTAAGGTCCATGGGGCAGGGACCTTTGTGTCTTGTTTATTGCTATGTATCCAATGTCTAGAAAAATGCCTGATGCCAATATAGGTATATTTTTTAGATGGATAGATGAAGGATGGCTGGTTGGCTGGCTGGATCAATGGATGGATGGAAGGATGGGTGAATACATGAATGGATAGATGGATGGATGATGGATGGATAATGGATGGATGGATGGATGATGGATGGATGATGAATGGATAATGGATGGAAGAAAGGATGGATGGATGGGTGGATGGGTGGATGAATGGAAGGATGATAGGTGAATACATGGATGGATAGATTGATGGATGATGGATGGATAATCGATGGGTGGATGAATGGATGGATGGATGATGCATGGATGGATGGATGGATGGATGGATGGATGGATGGATGGATGGATCAGACATGGCCAAGGGTTAAAGGGGAGGGAGGAATCCAAGCTGACTCAGAACTTCCTGCCTGACGAGATTCATCGAGTGGATGGAGGTGTTAGTCACCATGACGGGTACCCAGGAAGGAGAATGGGTTATGAAAAACAAATGTTTTGAACAATAGTATGTGTGATGTGGCAGTTGAACATTTTGGGGTGTGGGTGGGCAGAGAGTTATCATGTAGACAATTTGATGTAATAGAAGCTAATGTTATTGAGTGGTAGGCAGGTATGTGCTATCTGATCTCTGCCAAATTTCTCTTCCAGGTACTCCACCAGGTGGCCTCTCCTCACTGGGGAGCCAGTCAACATATTCTCTGGAAGTCTTTCCTGGAACTCCAAGAAAAGGTGAGCCATGAGCCAGGTACCCATTAGAATGCATTGGGCTACATGTATCAAAGTACAAATGGAGAGTAGATCAAGCAAAAAAGGCATTTATTTCATGTTTGCCTATAATAATAAGTCTTGGGGCAGGTGGCTGCAGAACTCACATGGTGAATTAACACCATCAAAGCCCAAACTTCTTCCTGTGTATCAATTCTATCAACCTCCTTACGTTGTTATTTTGTCCTAAGACTTGTCTCCTCATGCTGCAAGATGGTGACCAAACCGTCTCATATGAAAGAATTCTTAGCAAGGACAAAAAGGGAGGCAAAAGGCTTTCTTCCTCAAGTGGCTGTCATTTTATCTAGGCATAAAACCCTTGCAGTCATCCTCTTCCCCTAAAGCAGTCACCTGTGTAACTCTTGGTCAGGACCGGGGCACATGGCCAACCCCAGACCAGCCACTGGCAAAGGGGAATGAGATCACTCGTGACTGGTTTAGCAAAACCATCCCCCATCCCTGGGGTCTTCTGAAGGGACACTTACTAGAGTCCAGGATAAACATCCACTACTTGAATAGAATCAGGATTGCTTGCAAGAAAGAAACAGGAGCATGGGAAAGACAGCAACACCACCAACAGTAACACTTTCAAGGGCATCTTAAATGCATCAGATGCAGCACCTGTTCAAGATACGGTAACTCTTCATTCTTGTTCTCATCATTATTTAAAATTTTTCTATTTCCCTAATATTCCCCATATCTCAAAATAAGAACCCTTTCTCTACAAGAAAAGACCGTAAGACTTTTACAAAATCCAAATGTCGCTGTCACAATTACCTTTGTTCTGTTCAAAAGTGTTTTCTCATGACAGTATCAAAAGAGCAGTAGTATACTTGGTGGACTTTATAAACCTAGAAGTTTTAACATTGTTTGTCAATACACACTGAGAGCTAATAAGATAACTTTGTCTATGACTAGATGAATGGATAAACAAAATTATATATATATATATATATATATATATATATATATATATATATATATATATATATATATATAAAATCTACCATGGAATATTACTCAGCCTTAAAAAGGAATAAAATTCTGATACTTGCTTCAACATAGATGAACTTTAAAAACATTATGCTAAGTGAAATGAGCCAAACACAAAAAGACAAATATTGTATAGTTCCATTTATATGAGGTACCGAAAGTGGTCAAATTCATAGAGACAGAAAGTAGATTGGCAGCTGCCAGGGTCTGGGGGGAGGGGAAAAATGGTGAGTCAGTGTTTAATGGGCACCGAGTTTGTTTAGCATGATGAAAAAGTTCTGAAAAAGGACAGTGGTAATGGTTATACAGCATTGTGAATGCACTTAATGCCACTGAATTGTACAGGTAAAAATGGTTAAAATAGTAAATTTTACCACAATTAAAAATAAAATAGTACATGCATTCGTTTTGAGAGAGTTGTGGGGCCAAATTCAGATCTTTTTTACCTTCCCTTGGGCTGATATTATGGGCCTCTGGTGACATCCAAATACAAAGGGATCCATTTTTTGTCTAGATCAGGTTTTTTCCTCCTTGGCAATATTGACACTTTGGGTTAGATAACTGTTGGGGGACTGTCCTGTGCATTGTAGGGTGTTGAGCAGCATCCCGAACCTTTATCCACTAGATGTCAGTAGCACCCCCCAGTTGTGTGAACCAGAACTGTCTGCAGATCTTGCCAAATGTCCCCTAGAGGGGACGCAATCATCCATTGAGAACCTACACTATTCATAGACATCTATACCAAGCAGGCTTTCCTAAAGACTTTGGGCAAAGGATTTATAGAACGGATAAGTTCTTCGTTGTCGATATGCATTTACCTTTATTTCAGAGGGGACGCTGAAAACTTGCAAACACTGCTTCCCCAAACTTTAACGTGCATGCAAATCATGCTGCGATCTTGTTAGCAACGCAGTTTCTGATTCAGCTGGTGGGGATTGGGACTCAAGATTAGGCTTTTTCAACCGGCTCCCTGGTGGGCCACGTGGGGTTTTAGAATTCTTTCACCAGGCCGGGTCATGGGTACAGATAGCAGAGGTTGGCGCATTCTTCTAGGGACGCACGGTTGTCTTCCCTCAGCCTGAATGGTGATGCCCATACTGCTGGCACATGGACCCTCATTTGAATAGCAAAAATAGAGTACTGTGTGTGGGAAAATGTTAATGCCTCTTCTTCCCACAAGAGGGGAAGATCTTTATCGGGAAGTACCAAGATTCTCGGCTCTATCTAGAACACTGTTCCAAGGATATTGCAGAACAAGTAGGCCCTGGGCCATGGTGTGCTTTAACTCATGAATCCATGAAAGACTGCTGATGAGTCTTCCACGGATCCTTCATTCCTCTCCATTAGATCCCCGGGAAACCTACAGAGACTATGTCCGCAGAAAGTTTCGGCTGATGGAGGACCGCAATGCACGCCTAGGGGAATGCGTCAATCTCAGCCACCGGTACACCCGGCTCCTCCTGGTGAAGGAACACTCAAATCACATGTGGGCTCAGCAGAAGCTTTTAGACACGGGCCGGGGACACGCGAGAACCGTAGACCACCAGGCCAGCTTCATCCAGATGGAGACCCTCTTCGAGCCAGACGAGGAGCGCCCTGAGTCTCCGCGCACAGTGGTCCTGCAGGGGGCAGCCGGGATGGGCAAATCCATGCTGGCCCACAAGGTGATGCTGGACTGGGCTGACGGGAGGCTCTTCCAAGGCAAGTTTGATTATCTCTTCTACATCAACTGCAGGGAGATGAACCAGAGTGCCTCAGAGCGGAGCGCCCAAGACCTCATCTCCAGCTGCTGGCCTGAGCCCAGCGCACCGCTCCAGGAGCTTGTCAGAGTTCCTGAGCGCCTCCTTTTCATCATTGATGGCTTTGACGAGCTCAAGCCCTCTTTCCACGACCCTCAGGGCTCTTGGTGCCTCTCCTGGGAGGAGAAACGGCCCACAGAGCTTCTCCTTAGCAGCCTAATTCGGAAGAAGCTGCTGCCTGAGCTGTCTCTGCTCATCACTACCAGGCCCACGGCTTTGGAAAAGCTGCACCGCTTGCTTGAGCATCCCAGGCACGTGGAGATCCTGGGCTTTTCTGAAGCAGAAAGAAAGGAGTACTTCTACAAGTATTTCCACAACGCAGAGCAGGCCGGCCAAGTCTTCAACTTCGTGAGAGACAATGAACCCCTCTTCACTCTGTGCTTTGTCCCTTTGGTGTGCTGGGTCGTCTGCACCTGCCTCAAGCAGCAGCTGGAGGATGGAGGGCTTTTAAGACAGACGTCCAGGACCACGACTGCAGTGTACATGCTCTACCTCCTGAGTCTGATGCAACCCAAGCCAGGGTCCCCAACCCTCCAGCCCCCACCCAACCAGAGAGGGCTGTGCTCTTTGGCTGCAGATGGACTCTGGAATCAGAAAATCCTATTTGAGGAGCAGGACCTCCGGAAGCATGGCCTGGATGGGGCAGATGTCTCTTCCTTCCTCAACATGAACATCTTCCAGAAGGACATCAACTGTGAAAAGTTCTACAGCTTCATCCACCTGAGTTTCCAGGAATTCTTTGCAGCCATGTACTATATCCTGGATGGTGGGGAGAGTGGGTCCAGTCCAGACCAGAACCTGATGAGGCTATTGACTGAGTACGGGTTTTCGGAAAGGAGCTTCCTGGCATTCACAGTCCGTTTCCTGTTTGGACTCCTCAATGAGGACACGAGAAGCTACCTGGAGAAGAGGCTTTGCTGGAAGGTCTCGCCTCACGTCAAGGTGGAACTGTTGGACTGGATCCAAAGCAAAGCTCAGAGTGAGGGCTCTACCCTGCAGCAGGGCGCCTTGGAGTTCCTCAGCTGTCTGTACGAGATCCAGGAGCAAGATTTCATCCAGCAGGCCCTGAGTCACTTCCAAGTGGTCGTGGTCAGCAATATCACCACCAAGATGGAGCACATGGTCTCCTCCTTCTGTATGAAGAACTGCAGGAGCATCGTGGTGCTGCACTTGTATGGGGCTGCCTACAGCGCTGACGAGGAAGACGGGGTGAGATGGACTTCAGGACCCCGGACGCTACTGACACACTCGTAAGTACTCGCAGGGGCTTGCTGTCTAATTCCATGTTCTTAGCCAAGTTCATGTTCTTCATGGGCGTGATTTTGCCCTTGTCCCAGGACACACTTGGCAATATCTGAAGAAATACCTGGTTGTCACAACTTGAAGAGATGGGAGGAGTGCTCCTGGCATCTAATGGGTAGAGGCCAGGGATGCTGCAAAAACATCCTACTATGCACAGGATGGTCCCTACAACAGAGTGATCTGGCCCCCAAATATCAATAGTGTCCAGGTTTGTTTCCTGTTCTTAAACAATATTTGTCAGGACTAAATTGGGACCTATGTCAAGGAGAATGTATTCAACCAATAATTATCCAGGCAGTTGTCCATCGATGGATGACTGAATAAAGAAGAAGTGGTACATATACACAATGGAATTCTACTCAGCCATAAAAAAGATGAAATACTGCCATTTGTGACAACATGGAAGGATTCTGAGGGTATTATGCTGAGTGAAATAAGTCAGATGGAAAGGATAAAAACCTGTATGATTTCTCTCATATGTGGGATATAAAATAAAAAACTAACCAATGAACCAAACGAAACAAACTCATAGACACAGACAACAGATTGGTGGTTACTAGAGGGAAAGGGAGGGTGAGGGTAGGTGAAATGAGTAAAGGGGGTCAAATATATGGTGATGGTTGGAAACTAGACTTTGGGTGATGAGCACACAATATACAGATATCAAATTATAATTTTGTACAACTGAAATTTGTGTAGTTATTAACCTATTATCTCAATATAAAAAAAAGTATCTGTGAGATGAAAGGCATGTCTCCTCCCTAGTCCAAAGATTTAAGCCTGTGCGAGTAATGCAGAGTCATTCAGAAGATAAATTAACATGGAGATGATAGAAGGCTTCATAAATTATGAGGGGACAATCAAGTGCCAAACATTGTCATTGTAAAGCGACTGGGAAAACTAGACTTGACCTGTCGTTGCTTCATGCAGACCCGAGAGGAATGTTTTGCCAGACGCCTACAGTGAACAGCTTGCCATGGCTCTGAGCACCAATCCGAATCTGATAGAGCTGGCTTTGTACTGCAATGCCCTGGGAAGCCGGGGGGTGAAGCTGCTGTGTCAAGGACTCAGACATTCCAACTGCAAACTTCAGAAACTGAGGTGAGACTAGGCTGGTCTGGGAGCTTCTGGTGGTCCCACCACACCCTCACATGGGGCTCAGTTAGAAAGAACACAGGATGGTGTGTTAGTTTGCTCAGGCTGCCATAACAGAGTGTCATAGGCTGAGTGACTTAAACAACAGAAATTTATTTCTCACAATTCTGAAGCCTGGAAGTTCAAAATCAAGGTGTCGGCAGGGTTGATTCCTTCTGAGGCCTCTCTTCTTGGCTTATAGATAGCTGTCTTCTCCCTGTGTCCTCACATGGTCCTCCCTCTGTGTGTGTCTTGTCCAAATCTCTTCTTATATGGACACCAGTCAAATAGGACTAGGTCCCACCCCATGACCTCATTTTTCCTGAATCACCTCTTTAAAGACACTATCTCCAAATTCAGTTGCATTCTGAGGTCCGGGGGCTAGGATTTCAATGTATGAATTTCGTGGGGGACACTGTTCAGGCCATAACAGATGGATATCAATATTAGTTCAAGAGTCATTATCTCTCACTTTTCTTATTTTTACCTTCTCCTTTCCAGGCTTCCTATCTCCAATCACACTTCCTGATTTCAGATTACTGGGGGTGCCAAAAAAATGTATACACATGACTTGTATTCATCTTTCGTTATCGGTATATATTGAGTATTACAATTTTTTAAAAAGATTTATTAGAGAACAGCCATGGTCATTGGTAATACATTGCTTTCATGCAACAATGGAATAGCTGACCCTTCTAAGGAGGGTGCAGCTCACAGTAGCCCATGTGGGGATCAAACTGGCAACCCTGGTATTATCAGCATGAAGCTCTAACCACCTGAGCTAACCAGTCACCCCCAAGTATTACAATTTTAATACAGTTTTTTCTTTTCTTAAAAAGTATATACACTATTTCATCTTTTTTTTCTGGCAGAATAGTATTCCGTTGTGTATATATAGCATATCTTCTTTATTCAATCATCTATCAAAGGCCACTTTGGCTGTTTCCATGTCTTGGCCACTGTAAAGAAAGCTGCAATGAACATCAGAGCACATATATCTTTATGGATCAATGTTTTCAGATTTTTGGGGGTAGATACCCAGGAGAGGGATTGCTGGGTCATATGGTAAGCCTAGCCTTAATTTTTTGAGAAACCTCCACACTGCTTTCCTTAGCAGCTGCACCAATCTGCATTCCCACCAACAGTGTATGAGGGTTCCTTTGAGATTATTATGCTAAGAGAAATAAGTCAGACAGAAAAAGTAGAGAACCATATAATTTACTCATATGTGGGATATAAAACTGAAAACAACAAAGGAACAAAACAAACAAATAAAGAAACAAAAACTCATAGACACAAACAATAGTTTAGTGGTTATAAACGGGATCAAATATATGGTAATGGAAAGAGAACTGACTCTGGGTGGTGAACACACAATGTGATATATAGATGATGTATTACAGAATTGCACACCTGAAACCTAGTAACTTTACTAACAATTGTCACCCCAATAAACTTTAATTAAAACACAAAAATTTGTATACATTTTTTGGGCACCCTCTGTATATTACAAAGCTACAGTAATTAAAACAGTATGGTGCTGGCATAAAAACAGATATACAGATAAACAGAATAGAATAGAGAACCCACAAATAAACCCATGCATATACAGCCAACTGGTCTTCAACTAGGGTGCCAAAAATACCTATGGAAATACGTAGAAGAGGCAAATCCATAAGGATAGAATGTAGAATGGTGATTGCTAGGGGCTGGAAGGAAAGGGGAACGGGGAATTATTATTTAACAGGTACAGAGTTTCTGTTTGGGATGGTGAAAAAGTTCTGGAGATGATGGTGGTGATGGTTGCACAGCAGTGTGAAAGTACTTTATGCCCCTGAACTATACACTTAAAAATGGTAAATTTTAAGTTATGCTTTTAAAGCATGGTGGCCCTGCCAACCAGCAAATGTGGCTCAGTGAGCACCTTGGGACCTGCCCGGGACATGGTACCTTCTTCTCATAGTGATGGAGAAAAAAGAAGTAGAGAAGAGCAGATGTGAGGGGTCTTGGATTTCTCTCTTAAGGGCAACCTCTGTGAAAGCATTTCCTTGACTGCAAAGTTCCAAAAACATTTTGCACTACTCTTGTTGCTTTTATTATTTTTTTAATTGAGATATAATTCACACACCACACAACTCAGTGATTTTTTTCTTTTTTGAGCATATTGCACAAGATTGTGCAAAACGTCACCATGATCTAATCCCAGAACATTTTTGTCACACCTAGAAGAGACACCCTACCCATTAACAGAGGATCCCCACTCCCCCAGCCCCTAGCAACCATGAAGCTCCTTTCTTTGGTTTTAGAAAAAGGGAAAAATAGGGATAGACTAAAATAGGGAGGGAGAGAAAGGATAAGGGACAGAACCCACAGGTGGACCACAAAGGAAATGACATGGCTCTTTTCTCCTTCTTTCCACCCCAGACTGAAGAGGTGTCGGGTTTCCAGCTCTGCCTGCCAGGACCTCACAGCTGTTCTAATGGCCAATAGGAATTTAATGAGGATGGACCTAAGCAGCAATGACCTCGGGCTGCCAGGCATGCAGCTGCTTTGTGAGGGGCTCCGGCACCCCAAATGCAGGCTGCAGATGGTCCAGTGAGTCTTAATTTGCGTGGTTTTCCTGGGCAAGGTCATTTTCTCCTTGGCATGAAATATCTCCCCAAACAGTGATGATCCCCAAGTCTCTATCTTGAAATTAGGGCTGCCCTTTGACCCATGACCTTAGACCCTGTCCTGGACTCCGCACTCCAGGAAACCTCTTCCTGGTTTCCTCTGACCCCACCGTTTCTACATGGTGAGGAGTCCCTGGGGCCACCTGTCCACACAGAACCCACACTCGTCCTGGGTGGTCAGAACCCTAGAGCTCCCCATGCCAAGAGCTTTTAGTTGTGCAGTTCCCTGTTCCTGCAATGCCAACGTTCTAGAAAAACAACCCAGGTTCCCACCTGTGTGTCTTCTACTACTTAAACACTTCATTGTGACACTTCTGGTCACCAAATGTGTGGGGTTTCCCCACACCAAGCAATTCCCTGGAACACCAGCTGAGTGTCCTACAATTTAATGTACTTCTGATACTATAGACCTGGAGAGAATGTCACATCCCACAGGTTAAGGGCTCAGTCCCAGGAGACTGCTCTCTTTAACTTCAGGCCACAGTTGCAAGTCCAGGTTGTTACCTGTGCTTCTGACTGACTGGCTACAAAATCAGAGGTTCCCATGACCTCTCATGCCCCCTTCTATTTATTTGCTAGAACAGCTCACAGAACTCAGGGAAACACTTAGGTTTACCAGTTTATTAATGGATGTGACAAAGGACACAGATAAACAGACGGGTGAAGAGATACTTAGGGAGCGATCTGGGAGGGTCCTGAGCATAGGAACTTCTGTCCTTGTGGAATTGGGGTGCATCACCCTCTCACTCGGTATGTGGATGTGTTCACCAGACTAGAAGCTCTCTGAGCCCTGTATTAGTGGGATTTTTATGGAAACTTCCTCATGTAAGCATGACCAATAAGTTACTAACTCCATTTCCAGCCCTTTTCCCCTCTGTGGAGTGTGGGGGTGGGGCTGAAAATTCCAAGCTTCAGTGAAACTGAGACATCACATGAAACTGAAAACTGAGACTTGATAAAAACTTGCTTGAGGTTAGTGGGGTAGTGGGTAGTGGAGATGGAAGCAAACACAGGCCGCTGAGCCCTGGAAACCCCATTTTGTACTGTTGTTAATGGCACCCCTTACATTGGGTTTTAATTGCTCACCTGTTTGTCTTATTAGGACACTCCTTGTGGCAAATGATGAAGTCTTGTTCTTCTCTGTAGTTTTAGTGACATGTGTGGGTTCAGGTTGGGTAACTAAACGGCCGGGGAAGAGCCATCAGGATGCAGAAAAGCAAGACAGTGCCCTCTCCCCTGTTTCTTTCCTCCGAAGGTTGAGGAATTGTCATCTGGAAGCCGGGGCTTGCCAGGAGCTGGCCTCCGTGCTCAGCGTCAACCAACACCTGTTGGAGCTGGATCTGACAGGAAATGCGCTGGAGGACTTGGGTCTGAGGCTGTTGTGTCAAGGCTTGAGGCACTCAGTCTGTAGGCTGCAAGTCTTGTGGTGAGTTCTTCATGGGACCAACTTAAAAGGCAAATCTCCTCGTATCACAGGATGGTATGAATATGCGTTCGCTATTTTTACACCCACGTTCATAGCAGCATTATTTGCAGTAGCCAAGAGGTGGGAACAACCAAAGTGTCCATCAGTGAGGGGATGGATAAAAAAAATGTGGTATATACATACAATGGAATATTATTCTACCTTAAAAAAGGAACGGAATTCTGATACATGCTACCACATGGATGAACCTGGAAGACGTTATACTAAATGAAATGTCAATTATAAAAAAAAAACCAAAATTATATGATTCCACACATGTGAGGTATCTAGAATAGTCAAATCCATAGAGACAGAAAGTAGAAAGTAGAACAAGGGCCAGGGCAGAAGGGGATGGGGAGTTGTTTAATGGGTACAGAGTTTCTCTTTGGGGTGATGAAAAGTTCTGGAGATGGGTAGTAATGATAGATGTATAAAAATGTGAATGTACTTAATGTTACTGAACTGTATTCTTAAAAATGGTTAGAATAGGGTAATGATTGAGATTTTTCTCCCCAGCATATGTCATCAGTTTGGCTCAAATAAAATGTTTTTCAAATTCCCTTAAAAAAATGGTTAGGATGGTCAATTTTATGTTATATATTCCATTGTATGTATATATTCTGTTTATCCATTCATTCATCCATGGATAAACACTTGGGTTGCTTCCACCTTTAGGCTATTTTGAATAAGGCTGCTATGAACATGGGTGTACAAATATTTCTTTGAGCCTCTACTTTCAGTTATTTTGGGTATGCAACCAGAAGTGGAATTGATGAATCATGAGGCTATTTTTAATTTTTTTGAGGAACTGCCATGTTTTTTTTCTACAGCAGCTAAACCACTTTGCCTTCCTACCAACAGTGCATAAAGTTTCCAATTTCTCCACATCCTTTCCAACACTTGTTATTTTCTGGGTTTTGTTTTTGTCTTTGTTTGCTTTTTTTTTTTTTCTTCATATAATGGGTGTGAGGTGGTATCTCATTGTGGTTTTGATTTTCATTTTCCTAATGATTAGTGATGTTAAGCATCTTTTTATGTGATTTGTGGCTATTTGTATATCTTCTTTGCAAAATGTCTATTTTAGGCTTTTGCACATTTTAAAAAATGAGTTGTCTGTTTGAAAATGCATTATTTTGAAGATTGGGGGTAGGGAGGATAAAATTAGCTTTGTATAGAACACATTCCGTAACATATGTTGAATAGGTTGAAGATTTGTCACCTCACGGCTGCTGCCTGTGAAGACCTGGCCTCGACCCTCTGTGTGAACCAGAGCCTGATGGAACTGGACCTAAGCCTGAATGACCTGGGGGACCCTGGGGTGCTGCTGCTGTGTAAGGGCCTCAGGCACCCCCAGTGCAAACTCCAGACCCTTCGGTGAGTCTGGCTTTGCTCACTGTCATAGGAGTCCAAATTCTCAATCTTTGCCCTCCTGTCTGGGCTCACTAGGGCCACGCTTCCTCCCCTCTTCTAAACTCTGAGTTCCATCTGCCTCCTTTCAAAGATTTTTCTGCCACAGGGCCTTTGCACCACAAGCTCTTTCTTCCTGGAATTCCTTTCTGCTCTGCCCTTTTATACCCTGATAACATCTGTTTTAAAATAAACCTTCTTCTCCTTGTATGCCTTCCTTCCCCAACCCCTAAGATAAGATCTGGGTTCTAAGTTTTATGATCCTATTTGACTTAATACTTCTTCGCAGCATCACTTTTCAAAATTCATCATTTGTGTGTATATGTGTGGTATTCTAAAAGTGCAGGAGCTGTGTCAACTCTATATTTCAATGACTATTATAAGACCTGGCTCAGAGGTGCTTAGAAATACATATGTTTTTAAGTGGGTGAACAGATGAATAAACAAATGAACAAAAAGAAAATGCAGCAAGACTGTCCATTTTCAGAAAATCCTTTTTCTTTGTGGTCCCAAAGGAGAGTCTTTCTTTTTTCTTTTTTTGTCCTACAGTAACATCCTCAATTACCTGATGTTATTCTCTCTGGCAGATTTTGTGTTTTTGTTTTTTTCTTAAGCCAAAGTATGGCTGCCGTGGCTTTTTTATTTTTATTTTTAGAGGATTAAGATAAATCTGTGCCCCATTTCTTTACACTGTTCGCTCTGCTGCACCCTTTAAACATGTTTTTGGAGTGCAGGTACACATAATTAGAATGTTCATAATTCTTCATTGATACCACAATATCACTGTGGACTCACACATCCACACATGTCCCCGTTTTATTTATGTCCCTTTCCTTGTCCTCCCCAAATCTCATCTGTAGGCATGCACGTCAGTATTTTACATAAATGATATATCTCATTAACCTGTTTTTCTTTTTTCACTACCTTTGTACATTTGC